AGCAGATGAACAGTGGTCGGCCAGCCGAAAATGCAATTTGACCAAAATAGATGACCGGTCGACCATCTAGAGTGCCGGTCGGCCAAACATTTGGCCGATGGCAACAAAACATAGCCGGTGGCCTCAAGCCATGGCCGGTGGAGTGTGGGGATGGCCAACAAGCCATTCCCTGCCCCTCAAAGGCAAAACACAAGTGTTTGGTGCAAAACCAATCACAAAACAGTCGAGTCGAGAGATCCTGAGGCAGGGCACGTGGCCGAGACCTCCGGGAACTCAAGACGAACACGAACATGAATGATAACCGAGTGTTCAAGCGGTGACGTCCAAGTCTTGAGGACGGTCAAAAATGGGGTGTCTACACCATGTCCTAGTGAGAAGAGGCGAATACGACACAGATCCCACATCCGAACCCGTGTCGTGTCGTGTCGTGTCGACACAGGTACTTTGCCCCAAAGTGCCGAGTCCATGGAACATAGGTTGTGAATGTTCTCATATTTTAAATCAATTTGAGTGAAAAACCCAAGTTAATCATGTTCTTTTGCTTTCAATTTAAGTTTCAATGTTGATTTTAGGGTGATTACTGTGAATGTTCTCATATTCTGAATCAATTTGAGTGAAAAACCCTAGTTAATCATGTTCTCTTGCTTTCAATTTAAGTTTCAATGTTGATTTTGGTGTGATTGCTGTGAATGCTCTCATATTTTGAATCAATTTGAGTGAAAAACCCTATTTAATCATGTTCCCTTACTTTCAATTTAAGTTTCAATGTTGATTTTGCTGCGATTGCTGTGAATGTTCTCATATTCTGAATCAATTTGAGCGAAAAGCCCTAGTTAATCATGTTCTCTTGCTTTCAATGTAAGTTTCAATGTTGATTTTGTGGCAATTGTTGAGAATGTTCTCATATTTTGAATCAATTTGAGTGAAAAATCCTAGTTAATCATGTTCTTATGCTTTCAATCTAAGTTTCAATGTTGATTTTGCTGCGATTGTTGTGAATGTTCTCATATTTTGAATCAATTTAAGTGAAAAACCCTAGTTAATCATGTAATCTTGCTTTAATTTAAGTTTCAATGTTGATTTTGGTGCGATTGCTGTGAATGTTCTCAAATTCTGAATCAATTTGAGTGAAAAACCCTAGTTAATCATGTTCTCTTGCTTTCAATTTAAGTTTCAATATTGATTTTGGTACCATTGATGTTAATGTTTTCAGATTCATATTGAATTTGAGTGAAAAACCCTAGTTAATCATCTTCTCTTGCTTTCAATTTAGGCTTCAATGTTGATTTGGGTACCATTGTTGTTAATGTTCGTAGATTCTTAATGAATTTGGGTGAAAAACCCTAGTTAATCATATTCTCTTGCTTTCAATTTAGGTTTCAATGTTGATTTTGGTACCATTGTTGTTAATGTTCTCACATTGTTAGTCAATTTGAGTGAAAACCCCTAGTTAATCATATTTTATTGCTTTTAATTTAGGTTTCAATGTTGAGTGTGGTACCATTGCTGTTGATGTTCTCATATTTTCGAACAATTTGAGTGAAAAACATTAGTTAATCATATTCTCTTGGTTTCAATTTAGGTTTCAATGTTGATTTTGGTACGATTCCTGTGAATGTTTTCAAATTCTTAGACAATTTGAGTAAAAAACCTTAATGAATCATATTCTCTTGGTTTCAATTTGGGTTTCAATGTTGATTTTCTTACGATTGTTGTTAATGTTCTTAGATTCTTAGTCAATTTGAGTGAAAACCCAGACTTGATCATATTCTCATGATTTCAATTTAGGTTTCAATATTGAGTTTGACATGATTGTTGTGAATGTTCTCAAGTTTTCAATCAATTTGACTGAAAAACTCTAGTTATTCATGTTCTCTTCCTTTTGATTTAGGTTTCATTGTTTATTTTGATACAATTGATGTGAATGTTCTCAGATTCTGAATAAATTTGAGTCAAAATCTCTAGTTAATAATATTCTCTTGCTTTCGATTTCGGTTTCAATGTTGATTTTGTTTTTATAGCCATGAATGTTATCAAATTTAGACTTCATGAGAATGACATTGGATTGATTCTTTTAGGACACATTCTCAGTGTTAATATGTCGTCTATATTGATTTTCCGCACAGGAAAGCAACTCCTAAAAATGCCAAGACTAAAAAGCAATGCAAAGAAAACAATAAGCAAGCGTAAAAAATCAACTTCGATAGAGAAAAAGCAAAAGAGAAAGCGTAGAGAATGGAAAGTAACTTTCAGATCAAACATGGTGACAATAGTGAAGCTATTACAACACATCAAACTCAGGAACGAGCATATTAAAGGGTTAAAGAGAACCCCATTTGGTTATTGTTTGACGCAATATTGAAGAACAAGTTGAATTATAAATAATGCAGAAAATATGATGATATTGCATTCAAATTAATTCAGACATACCAACCAGGCAACAGTGGTTCTTTCCAGTTAGGACCATAAACTGTAAAGCTAACAACAGAAGACATCAAGTTCATCCTCGATATATCTTGTGGAGATGAGCCGATGCATCTTGGTTATGGAAATAAAAGTATATCATCATTTCTAACAAGAAGATCTATACAAATTGAAAGGCTAGTGAGCACAACCATCATGGACTTGTTCCAAAATCACATGGGCCTCTCTGATTATTTTTTAGCCATAAGGGGTAAAGAAGTTTAGCCTAAAATTTTGATGAGCTAAAATGAATTTAAGCCAAAAATAAAAATGATTGTAAATGAAATTTAACCCGTTGGTTTTGACCTCAGTATGAAATTGGACAGAGAGAATGTCCCAAGCTTGTTTGGCTTTTGTAGCATCCCTGATTCCTGGAAAGATTCAGTCTGAGACGCCTGGTTGGATGTGAGAAAGAGCTGCAGCATCTTTCTGTTGCTTCTCCTTGTTGGTCTCATCGTTGTACCCATCCTATACCGTATCCCACAAATCCATAGATAAAAACAGAGTTCTCGTTTTTACACTCCAAAACTTGTAGTTGGTACCGTCAAAATTGGAATTGTGGCCATGTAGAGTTAACTCTAATAAGGATATTCAGTTCTTCACCTTGCAGTTGATCTTCCTTCCACAAACCATAAACTCTACTACTACCATATGGAATGGAAGCATTTTGAGTAGGCCTATGTAAGCTGTTGTTTCATCATTAAAAATAAATAAATAAATAATAGAAAGAAAAATTGACTTTCTCAAGAAGTATGGATGTAGACTTTTTGGAAGTTATCGAGTAGAATATATCTATAAAAAATCATGTCGATCAGATATCGTTATTTATTTCATCAAATCACATTTGCATTGAGTTTTATATTTTAAATTACATTTATTTTTTTTAAATACAAATGTGATTTGATAAAAGGGCCAACGATATCCGATTGATGTAATATTTTACTGGTATATTTTACTTGATAACTTTTAAAATGTGAACGTTTTAAATTATCGAATTAGATCCTAAAGTACTCTATCACCATTCAATGCGTAGGACTGAATCGAGTACTTTATCCCTATAGAAAATCACGTTGATCAAATATCGATAGCCACTTAATCAGATCACATTTATATTAACAATTTATTTTTAAAATCATAGTAACATTGACACAAATTTGATCTGATCAAATGGCTATCGATATCGATTAATGTTATTTATTGCAAGAATAAAGTACTCGACAAGTACTATACATTGAACAGTTCGAATTATCAATGTGGGTTTTATAGTGGGCCCACATAGCCCAATAACATGCTCAATCCGATTGGGCTAGAGAAAACTTATTCTCTATTTTATACTCCTTTTGTACACAAATTATAAATTGATTTTTGTTTTTAGTAATTTAAAAGGTTATGTCAACAAATTTTTCACTCTCTATGATTTAAAATTTTCAAAATTAATTTTTTGACTTTTTAATTTTAGATCGACTTAATATATATACAGTTAAAAAATATATAATTTGTACAAAAAAAAATTAAAAATCATTGAATATAACAAAATACTAAAATGTATTAATTTTTTGTATAAAAAAACAAGACACAGTCCATCACTGGACCCCATTGCCAACACAGTGATGGATTTAGAGCTCATTGTTTAGAGCTCTAAATCATTTTTGTTCTTTATATGTTTTATATTCTTTTTTTTTTTTTTTTGCACTTAACATTATCAAAAAAAATAATAATAATAAATAAAGATTAACTTCACTTCTAAAGAATTAGAGATCCATAAATAATCACCAATTTGTTTGAGAATAGGCTATTTTAGTTGACTATTTGATTTTTTACGAAAAGATATGCACAAAAAAAAATAGAGAAAGTAATGTGATGGGATGTTTTGTTTTATTAACTATTTTAGCTTTGAATGGACAATCCATCCCCAAACAAACCCATATTTTAACTTATTTCTACCTTAGAGTAATTATGCCAGCAAAATAAACTACAATTACAACATTGTAAACTAAGTACAAAATCACTATACATAGAAACTCACATTAATACATTAATACAAGATTATCTGATAAAACAATCTAAATAAGGACCCATGTTTCGTTTATAAATCAATTCATATGTCACATGCAACTCGCGGACACCCCAACTATTATATATATATATATATGTATGTATGTATATAAGTGTCAACAATCAAAGACTTTTGGTAATCTTTATTTATGTAGAAGCCAATAGAACCATAAGCATAGACTTTACATCACTACTAATACAGATTTGGGTGCCCTGCCCGCTCGAACTAAAACCTGAACTTCTCACGCAATTCAAACTTGTAAATAAATACGTGAGGAAATATCATTTTATCCCTTAAACTTTCACTTATTTTTTAATTGGGCCCTTAGACTTCGAATAATATCAATTTTATACCCAAACTTTTAAAATCTTAATCAATTTAGCCCATGCCATCACATTCCGTCTACAATTGGACGGAATGTACTGTAACGCCCCGAAATAAATACAATAATCTGACTTCCAATGGTTTATACAATATGATATGAATTAAATAATAAGCTTTCATTGATCAGAGTTGATGTACAAAAGTTGACACATGCGATATACATTCATAAATAGTTCATCCTGAATTTACTGCATGTGTTGCAATGATAAAAGAACTGAAAACTAAACAAATAATTATATGCCCTAAAGGCTTACATCTTTCCAAGCCATGGCTTAGTTACAACAAAAGTGAGCCTAGTTCAATACAATTTAAGCCCTTAGCTACGTAAAAAGGAATACAACAAAAGGAAAGAAGCTCTCGCTCCAAAAGTCCCTCCAAGCTATTGCCTTAACAGAGGCATATCACCAATACCTAAAAATGGTTTTCCCAAATAGAGTAAGCCAACGTCCAGTAGAAACAATCAAACACAATATATGAATCTTAACAAAGATATAAATACAGTGTGCATATACAATGTTTATGACAAAGCATTCATACTCAACATGATCATAAAGTACAAAATTTCATATCTCAATCCAGTTCTCTTTAATTCATTTCAAGTTAATCCATTTCATCTCAATTCATGAGCCAATTTCATTATCTTCCAGACAACCCAACTGAGACTACAACTCAGCGGTTCTCAAATCAACACAACTATCACACAAACACTTCAATTTGTCATTTTACAGAAATTTCATCCGCGGGATCGGCACCCATGTATATGCGCGGTTTCGGGACTTTCAGCCTGGACACTCCGGCTAACTTAATGGAGTCCATCCCCTATCTCCTCCCAAACATGGAATACATCTCCTTTCTTCTCCCAAACATCATACACATACAATGTATTTAAAACATAGTCATATTCAATGACAATCAACAAGAGGTTAGTTTCAATTCACCTAATCCTTATGCAATTTCTACAACAATCATAGTTATCTTTCACTGACAGCCCAATACAGATATTTCTAAATAGATATTCAATCTCAAGACATATGATTTATTCAAATTTCCATAGGTGTGAGGTAATATATATCCAATTCCACTGTTTATTCCAACATTCATTCAATTTCATATTTACGACACCAATTCCATTTATTTATACAAAACAAATATTGGACCCATTTTAGAGCAAACTCTATTTTTTCCAAATATTAACCCAAAGGCTAAATCAACCATTTTGTCACAAGGTAACCTCATATTCAAATCCCATAACCATTTATGTCACATTCACTTAGAAATCTCTCTTTTGATTTTAAACCCAAACCCTAGGTTTATCCACAATACTCTAAGCTAAAAACCATATGAAAGTGTAGAAAATTCCTACCTCAAGTTTAGAAGATCAAAGGAGCAAGAGAAAAACTTCAAAGATACCGAAACCAATCTCTATTCGGATCAAAATGTAGCCCTTGAGATGTTCTATCTTTTTAACAAAGACAAATGGGTAGAGAGATCACTAGAACTAGGTGAAAATGTAGAGAGACAGAGAAAGTATTTTAGAGTGAGAGGCTCTAGATCTAGGGTTTTTGAAAAGTAGAGAGAGAAAAAGATATGAAAAAAGTGATGTAAAATGTCACTTTTACAAACTGAAATACGCAAGTCCGCTTGAGTGCAAGAAGTGACACTAGAGCGTCAGACACAATAAGTTGTTCTACTCGAGTGCCAAGACACAATGAAAGAGACACCCACCGCTCGAGCGCAAGAAGTGACGCTCGAGTGTAGAAAACACAGATCCAGTAGTTTTGCAGACAATAGACTAACACTCAAGCGCAAAAAAGGGTCGCTCGAGCTGAGCCCACTCACGCTCGATCGTAGAAGGACGCGCTTGAGCATAGAATACGCTCTCCCAATAGTTTTGCTGACCTGCAAAAGTACTAAGAGTTTGCAAAGCCCGCTCCAGCGCAAGAAATGCCGCTCGAACGGAGGAGCAAAATTCTGGGCAACAACAGTTTAGAAAACAAGCAACCAACCTGCCTCAAACACAATCACAACAATTCAAAACTCAAATTTAAGGGAAAACAAGGGGAAAAATGGATAAACAACAACACTAAACCATGAAACCAGAGTCCGTAATACAACAAGTGTCGGGTCAAAACCAGAATCACTATAATTTTACCCCATAAACTTTACCTTAAAAATCAATTTGCCCTCCAAACTATACCATAAAAATCAATTTACCTCCCATGTCAGCGCATTCCATCCAATTGTAGACGAAATGTGACGGCAGGGGCCAAATTGATTAAAATTTTGAAAGTTTAGGTGTAAAATTGATATTAATCGAAGTCTGGGGGTCAAATTGAAAAACACATGAAAGTTTGGAGGGCAAAATGATATTTTCTCTAAATACATTGAAGAAAGCATAGCATCAATAAACAATAGGACGGCGCAAAATTATCATATAGGGGATGAATATATATATATATATATATCTAATCAAAAATTTTAGAAATAAAATACAAATTATAATATCAATTTCTACTAACGTGATCAAGTAACTAACTGATATCTAATTTTATTCTTTACAGATTATAGCTTATAATTAACACTAATTATAAAAAAATAAATTTCTTTTATTATATTTTGTCTTTTTTTTATTAATTTTATATTTTGATTACATGTTTCATAGATATAGAGTGATAGTCAATTAAACTTTCTTTTAAAATCTAGAGAAGATGATTCTTAAAATTTGTAAAAGAAGAAAAATTTAGAAGGAGCAAGTATCTATAATTTGTAAATAATTCTAACTAATATTATTATAATAAATGGTGTTCTTGAAAATGTACCTCCCTCTCAGTACCATGATGCGGGTATTTAAGAAATATAATAGGGGAAGGCAGCCGATAACACAAACGGAAATAGCAAGGCCAGATGAATGTGCTAAGACAGCATATGTCCCCGTAACGAATGCCAACACCATTGCCATCGCAGCATAAATAGTAAGATAAGCAGCTCTATGAACTAGCTTCTCTACTTCATCCCCATTGTTACTACCAGCCGCATAGAAGTGGGTGAGCACTGCTGAAATGGATAATGACGTGGCTATGGTATCTATTACCATAAAAGCTTTGAAAGCTGCTTCTCTTGTTAGAATCGCCATGCCTTGGTTTGGGCCATCGTTGCCATTATATCCACCGGGCATCGTGAAACCAGCAGTAAAGGCCACAGTTGCTACAAGTGTAGCCACTATCAAATGATTTTCCCCTGTTTGCCTCAAGTCTATGGGTGTTACGCATACTACATTCCCATAATGAGGCCTAGTTGGTTCCTGCAAATAAAAAGCAAAATAAAATAAAACAAATAATAAATTATAGAAGGCAAATTTCATTTTACCATGTTACTTTTGCCCATGTGTGAATTATACCATTCTCATTTGAAAATAATCAAATAAATCCTTTGTAACGTTAAATATTGTGTAATTTAATAGCAAGTGTAAATCACGTATAGGCATAAGGGAGATTATATGCTCATTTCAAATTTTAAAGGAATAAAATACACATAAAATAAAGTATAGGAGTTAAGATGCATTTTGTCTCCCAAATAAATAATGAAAATATACGTAGTTCGTACATCTAGATTACTTATATATAGAGGCATTTTAATCTTTTTCATTAAATCGTTAGCGGGGCTAATAGTATACTTTGGTTCGCCTCCTTTCCGGTCCGGCCGCGGTACGGCACCTGAACTCGAAGCTACGATCAGATCCGATTGGATCTGATCCGTTCAGATTCCACAGATCCAGCCGATTGGGTCTGGTCCTATCCGACCCAACCCCGGAACTTAGAACGGCCGGCCTGTTTTGGACGGTAGAACGGGGGGAGGGGGAGTCGTGCCCATTCTCTCTCCGGGCACGAGCAGGAACATCAAAATTTCAGACCGAATACATGTACATGACGTAACGACATATTAAAAAATACGTGATCCGATTTGATAGGCTGCCCGCAGAAAGAGTTTACCGACCGCATAACAATTCATTCTTGTGTGTAGCGCGTGGGGCCATGTCTCCCGAACGATCATAGTACGGCCGCTCATCTAATATCAAATCAATCGGTAGATCTCACTTCCCTTCCCCCATACCATAGCCGGAAGGGATAGTGTATCTACAGAAGAGAGAGTACGGGCCCTTACCCTTAATTTAGTTTAGACGCGGCTCGAATGCCTTTACGCTATAGGCTGTGTTAAGCATGCTTCTTTGACAGAAAACAAACTCTTTTTCCATGACAACAGTCGCGACTATAAAGGGCGGGGCGGTAAGCTCTCTAGCAAGAACAGGGGGGCTGCTCTCCTTTGTCAACTCCTTGCTTGTGTCGTTGACAAAGTCAACCGAGCCTAACCAAAGCGTCACAACAACATCCAAAGGTTGACTTTGTCAACGCTACTAAGGACCGGGGTGAGCGGAATTCAGTAGAGGCTCGAAGAGGGGCTTACTAAGCGAAGGACCGAAGGCGGCTTTGCTATCCATCCTACTATACCACCGAAGGGCGGCAGGCAAAGCTGCAAGGAGATAGTGCGGCTTTCTTTGTTCTCATGGCAGAGTGAGGGGCGCTATCCATCCGCCAATAGAGCCGGCTTTTAGTGAAGATCCGCTCATATGCTGCATGAGGGGCGGCAAAAGACGGCTTTGCTCATGAGTTAGCGGTCAAGCGGAAAAGGACCTGCTGGCTTCTTTTCTTTCCGGAGCAGAGCTGCCTTGCTCGTAGCCCCTATTGATATAAAAGGAAGGGTGAAAGAAAAATAAGAAGCAAGTCTTGAGGGAGTAAAGAGCCACCGTTAGGTGGTTCTGCGCCAAGTGCGACCGATTGTCCTTCCTTTATAGATTGAACTACCGTAACTCCACTCAACCAACAAAGTCAATTCTATACTCAAAGTTGAGTTACCGTACAAACTCAATATCTATAAAAACTAAGGGGGAAGAGTTTTTACTGAAGCCGAAAGGTATCCTAAAGGAATGGTAGCACCACAATCCACCCAGACGCGGCCATCATAAATGGTTCGTGCGACGGCGGCGGAAGCAGGTTCTGGATAATCCATTCAATCTTCTTCTTTTCTTTCTCTTTTTTATCTTTTTCTTAATTTTCCTCTTCCCATGGAACTCCCTCTTGAAACATTTCCAGAAACTCGAGTCTTATTTCCTCTTCTTCCGGCAGCATTTCTCCTTTGAGCGGCATTTCCTCTTCTTCTTTCGGTGGAGCTTCCTCTCTAGGTTCTTCTTGCAGCCTTATCCCTTTTCAAAATTCTTCTTCCCTTAGGATCGCCTTTGGAAGCCGGAACGTAGGGGTCATGATGATCCAGTGGGAGGGATCTTCCTCACAAAGCCAGAGAGCATTAATAACATTAATTGTAGTGATGGTAGGGGGATGTTGGAAATCGGACACTTCCTCGGCCCAGCATGTTGAGACCGGAGCGTGACTAGGGAGCGAGTTCTTAAAAACTCCCATTTTCTCGTTGGGGTTCTTAGGAGCTTCCTGTTCATCCGCCACGTTGATTTTTCCTTCTTCTATGAAATCTTGGATTTTTTGCTTTATGTTATATTATTATACTTCGCTTGCATCTAATAGCTTATAGGCTTCTTTCCTTGCTGCACTCATTCACTCCGGAAGTTACTACTTTACTTTCTTATACTAGCTATTCTAAGATCTACCTTATCTTGCTTATCGCGAATACTGAAAGAACTGGCGATTTACTGCTGCTGTTTGTGCTTATTTACCGTACTATGAGTGAGCTTGCTCGTACTTATTGATTGCATACTGTCTTGCTCCTCGCATACCACCGTACTAAATACCGATTTCCACCTATTTTATTTGCCTTTCTCGATTGCCTATTTGCGCTTTGAAGTCCTTATTCTCGATTGCAAGAGGAAGACCAATCGCTCTTATCCAACAGCTTCTATTTGCGGAACAGCCATCGCGTAACTACCGCGATTTGCTTACATGCTTGTTATAAGAATTCCTTACTCTCTTTGATACTCTCTATGGATTCTTTATTCTGGGCTAGGTAACCAAGTTAGTATACTAGCGGAGCTCTTGAAGGGGGGAAGTCTAAACGAGTAATAAAAAGGCTTATCTATATCATTAGTCCCCCCCGAAGCCCCGCGACCGTTGCGACAGGTAGACCGTTTGAGAGACTTGCAAGAGTTTCGAGAGTTAACGACAGGAGAGAGCGATTGAGAGACTTGATTACAACCGTTAGAGATTCGCGTTAGCATACTCGATATCGCACAGATCAATTGCAAGGGAGATCTAGATTGAATAAAGAAGATCGATTCATGTGGCCCTCTTACTCCCCTTACTTGATACGATAGAGATCAATCGTTTACTTCAACTAAAATCGATGAAGTACTGAAACTACTTCAACTTCAATGGATGAACTTCTTGCTTGCCTGCCACTCCTCTGAACTTCGCTACCTTACTATAGTTTTTTAAAGTGGAATGAAAGTCGATATTTTACTTTTTCTTTAAAAAAAGCTACGGCTTACAAAATAAAGGCTTTTTTCTCTCGTTTTCCCAGGACGTAATCACCTATGAGATGGCTTTCACAGGGCTTCTTGCTACAGAGAGATTGCCGTAGACAGCTTATTAAGGGAATGCTATCTTTAGCTCCTAGTAACGCGCATCCCTTTGATTGCTTCCTTCTGGAATCTCAAGCATTAGCAAAGTGGCTAGGGGACATACATTAATTCAGCGAGAGACCTCTGTCAACCAAGGTCTGAGGAATGGGAAATTCCTTAGTTTCAATGCTCAAGTAGTGATCTATTGCCGGGAGTATTCATTGAATATTTCATCATATACGCAAGCGACTGACGGCCTCGGAGGAGGGCTGACGATCTCCGGCTTAATCATTGTCTCGGCTTTCTAAAGCTCTGTCACTGGCTTGACTCTCCTGGTAAGGGAGCTACCATCGAATACATTCTTTTCTATCCTTCGAACTACTCTCTAAGCCCACGGGATTCTCAGGTTTCTCTATCCAGAATCCACCTACCCTAGCTACATTCAACTAAAAACTAGAAGCGGTGAGTCCTAAGTACACTCACTGTGAGGTAAGGAAGTTCATAGCCAGTCCTAAACCTCAAGGGAAGAAGAAGCAAAGAGCAATCTAATTCTAAAAGCGCCTTCTATCTCTACCCTAAAAGTCATCTCTTTCTTCGCCTAAGCTCCTCCCTAGCAGCACTCTTCAATTAGCTACTTCACTCAGGCCTATCTTGTTCTAACCTTCCTACTAGGAAGGACATTACAACAACAAAGAACCTAGCTACTGGGCTACCATCCAAGAACAAGAACTACTAGCAGCTGGAGGGGCAGGATAGGCTAAGAAGGCAGTCAAGGACATCAACTACCTAACAGCGGAAAGACCGATTAGGGATATAATCCATTCTTTTCCTTCCTATCTTTTCTAACCATACAGTTAACAACCAAAGACGGAAAGAAATTATATTAGATAGGATAGAGTAAGACCTACGAGAAAGAGAAAAACTAGGAGAGGAATGCCAACAACAGCGGATAAGCAGAAGCGGAAACCTATTATACTTTATATGCATTGCAGCTCTTGGAGTCTAAGACTTCTAACTCTTTAGCCTCATTGGACTCAAGGACTTAGATGAGCTAACGGTAAGAATAAAAACCTGACTTTAGGAAGGAAGGGGAGAAAGGAAGAACTATCTAACTATTAGATGAATGAGAGTGATTATATGACCATCTTGATTCAACCAAAAGGCCCATAGGACCTATAATGGGGGAGTAGCTGAGGCTATCTAAACTCTCGTTTAAATGCTTTAGAGAGGCCCCTTGAGGACAACTTCTTACAGGGTTTTCTTATCTTACTATATCATACTACTTTCACTGGCCTTTGGACTGAAGAGAAAGGGCATTCTAGCCCCTCTCTCTCATAACAGAAGAGAGCAACTACAGGAACTCTCTTAACTTACTGCCTTAGCCATAGCTTCATACTAGCTACTAGGAGAGACTTCGATGCACTCACCTTAGAGAACTTATAGTTAGGTAAGGAAGGGAAGATACCATCCTAGAAGTGAAGCTACCATCCTACAGGTAAGATCTATCTCTTCTCCTGCCTTGCTCTAACCTTCAAGGAAAAGGAAGGAGAAACTACAGGAAACTCTTAGACGCAAGGCTGCCTCACTCATATCACTGTACTAAAGGCAATCACAAACAAGAAGAGGTGAGTCCTTAGTACACTCCAAGTACAGGAAGGACACTTTAGCTACATATTACTCCCAAAGGAAAGAAGAAAGATCCAATCTAATCTATTCTTTTCTTTCCTAGCTTCCCCAACCAG